AGGGGATAGTACACATAAAAGTAGCAATTTGAAAAAAAGGGATTTAGATATGTAAGAAGTCAAGGCAGTTTTCAAAGAATGGTAGGAAGGTTTAGGTAATTGAATGGTTATATTTCTGTGAGAGAAAGGACAAATGAAGGGTTGGTATAGAAAGAAGCCATACACTGAGGTCATACTTTCTGAGAAACAGTTGTGCTTTCACTTCTTTGTTAATATTGGTTAACTAATGATAGTTCAATTTGTTGCTGTAAATATGGCTATTGAATTAGCACATTTTGAAGCTGCACAGTTCTTATTTTTACTTTGTTTTCTATACAGCTTTAGTTACATTGCTTAGCTATAGTGAATTGTGTCCCACAATGTACAAGCTGCTGGACTTTGAAAAAATCTTCAGTGCAGGGTTGCCCTGTTCTCTTCCTGCTGCTGAACTTCCAGCACTATGGGGATTAACAGCTTTGGGTATCCTGGGTCAGCTGCACTAAAGATGACATGATGGGGACATGTCTCCTCTTGCTCTCTCCTTCATTGAGAAAAGTTATTTCACTAGTCACACTTTCTGTAACATGATCTGTGAATGAGGGGAGTCCACATCAGATTATCTTTAGTGCAGTTGAGACCCAAAGCTGCTAACCCACGCATCAGATGTTCAGGAACAGGAAGAGGATAGGGCAGCCTTGCAGTGAAGATTTCTTTTGAGTATAGCAGCTTGCACATCATGGAACATATTTCATTACAGGTAAGTAATGTAACTAAATCTGTATATGTTTTTTAAGTAAACATCAGCTTTAATGTAATTTTTACATTTAATAGTTGTAAAAAAAAAATCTGCAATAGCCATTGTGGGAGACAGTGCTGAGAGAATCAGTCTGAAAAAGTTGAGACTGAACTTGGGTTAAGCTGATTCTCAGCTGGTAGAAATGCATCTCTGATCTGCAGGTATATGATCTTTTCTTATTTTGGGTAATAATACTTTGATTAACAAAATTATTTGAAAACAAAAGTGGTCACCAATAACAGCCCAGCGCCCAAAATTTACAGGTTGGTATGTCTGTGGCTAAAGGGTTGCAAGTGTGCAGACTCATATGATGCTGAAACTACACTGTATCCTGCAGCAATGGGCCTAAACAATTCGACTATCATAGGAATGTCTCATCTCAGAAATTAGGGACCAACATTTGTGCAAGGTAATATGTGCAGTAGGAAAAATAGTATTGCTAAGGAAGAGGTTAAAAAAAACCTGTCACCCCCTGCTTTTGAGTCCAGATGGCATGGGTTAGGTTAAGAATGTGCTCCTGCAATGGGTTAGAATGCATTCTTGCTGGATTTTGATTGCCCAGCTTTATAGGAAGGCACTGATGAGGTACAATGATGGCTCTACATATAACATATGGGCAGTTTTAGCAATACACTGGAAAATTAGTCTATAAGTGGGCAGCTGTGGCAGTACAAGGGCATCTGAAATAATACATTGGCAGATGTGGCTATACATAGGCAGATACTGTATGACAATACTTTGACAGTAAATGACCCTTCATATGTAATTATGCAAACAATTATACAGGCATATCCAGAGTATAATCCACCAGTAACTACAAAATGTGAGCACAGAGGACCTAAAATTTAGTGGTATAAAATTCTGGTTTCAAAAAAAATGTATTCCTAACTCAAAAAGTACCTTCTATTGCTCTCAACCTCTTCCAAAGCTCCAAACTATATTTTTTTCTTCTGTGATTTGACTTTTTGTTAGAAGGTGGCTACATTAATTCTGTATGGTCCCACTGTATGTAGAAAGAGCCAACTTCTCTTTCTCGACTGCGATCTGGACTAGAGACTATGGCATTTTTAGTGTGTATAGAGCAGTGCACACAACTGCAACTAACGTGCACTGCTTGCTCCAACAAACTGAAGTGAAGAGTTAAATGAGGTTCAGGAGCTCACAGAGGACATTGTAAAGAAGCAGAAAAACACAGAATAATTTACTGAAAAAGAGATTACAGGGGCATTATGTAATGGAGGTGTAAGGATTATTTTTGGAGAATAAGGATATTGTTTAGTGTCACTTTAAGTTTTATTTTTTTTCTTTTATAAAGGTAATAGTATACTGCATTAGATGGTAATATACAATTGTGCAGACGTCCATAGGGGGCAAATGATGATGTATAATGGCACATATGGCACTATAATCATTTAAAATTGAGGCTCAGTCATGCATAGTTACCGTCTGCTTAGTATAAATATCAGTATCTGTAACAGTTCCAACAGGATGTCAACATTATTTGTCCTTCCTTTACAGAATGTTTTACATCAAGTAAAAATGAATTAATGGAATAAAACTGCGCATGTTCGGTTTTGTATTTTGCTTTGATCAGTCATACCTCACTGAGCAGTAATAAATTTGATTCCGATCATCCATGTACGTACATAATAAAGCATGCAACATTGGACTATAGTGGTAATAATGTAATAATATATATATATTTTTCCATCATACAATAGTCCTTTTATGTGTGCATATTCCCTGGTGTGCTATGATTGAAAAAGCACATTTTGTAGCAGAACTTATTCAGCATTGACATAAGATAATTTGAATTTGCCATGCTTGTGAGATAACTCACTAGGGAGAGCACAGTCTTAAATAAATAATACAGATAAAAATGTATACTTCCTTCTATTTCAAAGCTAATGCAGCCAGCTTACAATGGAATGGTAACATGAAGACACAGCACTGTAATTTGATGGATTTGTTTTGACAGCAGCCAAATAATTGAGAGTGAAAGGTGTCAGGAAAGATGATATATCGTATAAGCCACATTCAGGAGGCTACCCCAGAAGCAACTCCAACAAGAGTATTATTTCCTTTGATATCCCACTGTTACTCACTTCCAGTTTATTACAAATCTATAAAAGGTATTCAGTTTAACAGATCAGGGAGGTGTTGCTGGGTAGAGAGTGCAATGCAAGTAAGCTAGGAATTAGGACAATGTATCCTGACAACTGAATCTGTTCTGGATAGACCAAAGAATTGCAGGTTGGATGGAGGATAACCGGCTTATAATATAAGCTGAAAAATTTTCAGTCATAAAAAAGTCTGAAAAGAAGACTGTGTGCATTTAATCTAATACGTTTCATTCATATTAGGGGACATAATAACCTGATTTATATGACCTTTTAAAAAGTGATTCTAATATAAGTAAAATTTAAACAAGTATAATGGTACATTTTGCATTTATTTTGCCTCTAGGCCAACATATAAGGTATTTACTGCTGGAGTTGTAATTGGATTTAACATCATCGCAAATAAACAAAAGATTTACCAGCACACTTACAAGTCAGCCTGCAAAACAACCAAATTACTCTCTCCAACAGTTTACAGTACGTTAAAAACAGAGGGTTTTGTTTTCACACATTTGCAAATATATGCATAAGCCACAGTGCCCACACCAAGGTCCTCTGTATATACTGCAGTCTTAACTTAATAATTTTCAGAGCCTCCATAGTAGGAGCACATATAACAATGATTAGGTTGAGGACAGGTGTGCCTGGAGCAAACCCACCTTTCCTTAAAGGCACAGGAATGCACATGATGCCCAGCAATAGCACAATGGCAGCAAAGACATCCAGTGCATCCCTGCACCCAATTCAACCATCTGTACAAAAAAGTGGCAACCGCCCCAACCTATAGCTAGCCTTTACAGCAAAGTGCACATGGAATGGCAATGCACATTCCAAACAAACAAAAGAATTCCCAGCACACTTACCAGCCAGTCTGCCAAACAACCACATCTCCTTGTCTAACAGTTTACATTAAAAACAGAGGGTTTTGTTTGCACATATTTGCAAATATATGCATAAGCCACAGTGCCCACAACAAGGGACCTCTGTATATACTGAGGTCCTAACTCTAACATTTTCAAAGCCTCCATAGTAGGAGCACATATAACAATGGACAGGTTGAGAGCAGGTGTGCCTGGAGGGAGCCCACCCTCCTTAAAGGCACAGGGATGCATGGGACATCCAGCAATAGCACAATGGCAGCAAAGGCATATTTTCCTGAACATGTGATGTTGTCAAAGGAGTCAAAAGTTTCCATAGTTGGACCTCTAACCAATTTTTTTTTCTTTTTAAGCGCTGAAAAGGGTTAGAACATTTTTTTATTATTACTCTCATTGGCCTCATTTTTGAAAATTTCTCCTCACTGTCCTGCTTGTCCTTGTGATGCTTGAGGAACCGGAAGTGATGTGAAATAATTTCCAATGGAAACGGTAACTAATTTTTTAGTAGACATGCATATAGACGAAAGATTCACTTGCACTGAATGTTTGGTGAATGTTAGACGTGTGTGATTCAAAGATTTGGATGTATCCGAATCTCCAAATCACAATAATAAATTTCAACTAATAAACTATAATGAAAACAACAAATTCATTTGTATTCATTTGGATGATGATATGATGCAATAGTTTGGGTCTTTTGTTATTATTTGAAGCATCCAAAAAAAACTTAACAACATAACAAATGATCAAAATTGATTCAGATTTGTTTTTATTCTAATGAGTGTAGTGAGTGAGAGTTGAACTTTAAGAGACCATTCATTTAATTTGTATGTGCACAGTCATTTGGGTATGGGAGAATTAGTTCAATTTATTAACATAATGAATGCTTATTAATTACGTTAAAGAGAATATAGCCAGTTTTTTTAATAAAAGAATAACAGAAATTCCTAAAATATGAATCAATTCAGTATGATGAAATTAAATGATTTAAGTTATTAAACCAAAACAAAATGAAACAAATTTTTCTGCAATGCATATTTCCAATGAATGTTAGATTCACTGCTTTAAAAATACACTATATATACTCTGTGAGTGTGTGTGTGTGTGTATATATATATATATATATATATATATATATATATGCTATATTGCCAAATGAATTGGGACACCCCTCCAAATTATTGGATTAAGTTGTTCCAATCACCTCCATGGCCACAGGTGCATAAAATCAAGCACCATGCAGACTAGTTCTACAAACATTTGTGAAAGAATGGGTCACTCTCAGGAGCTCAATGAATTCAAGCGTGGTACCGTGATAGGTTGCCACCTGTGCAATGAGTCCATCCATGAAATTTCCTTGCTACTAAATATTCCACAGTCAACTGTTAATGGATTTATAACAAAGTGGAAATAAATGGTAACAACAGAAACTAAGCCACGAAGTGGTAGGTAGTGGGTCAGCTCAGCTCGCTAACTGTCTGCAGAGTCAATAGCTGAAGACCTCCTGACTTTGTGTGGCCTTTAGATTAGCACAACAGTGTGTAGAGAGCTTCATGGAATGGGTTTCTGTGGTTGAGCAGCTGCATTCAAGCCTTACATCACCAAGTGCAATGCAAGGCGTCGGATGCAGTGATGTAAAGCACACCACCAATGGACTCTAGAGCAGTAAAGACGTGTTCTCTGGAGTGGAAAACCATGCTTCTCTGTCTGATCCGATGGACGTTTCTGGATTTGGCGCTTTCCAGGAGAACAGTACTTGCCTGACTGCATTGTGCCAAGTGTAAAGTTTGGTGGAGAGGGATTATGGTGTGGGGTTGTTTTTCAGGGATTGGGCTTGGCCCCTTGGTTCCAGTGAAGGGAACTCTTAAAGCATCAGCATACCAAGACATTTTGGACAATTTCATGCTCCCAACTTTGTGGGAAGTTTGGGGACGGGCCCTTCCTGTTCGAACATAACTGTGCACCAGTGCACAAAGCAAGGTCCATAAAGACATGGATGAGTGAATATGGGGTGGAGGAACTTAACTGGCCCACACAGAGTCCTGACCTCAACCTGACAGAACACCTTTAGGATGAATTAGAGCAGAGACTGCCAGCCAGTCCTTCTTGTCCAACATCAGTGTCTGACCTTACAAATGCGCTTCTGGAAGAATGGTCAAACATTCCCACAGACACACTCCTAAACCTTACCTACAGTCTTCCCTGATGAGTTGAAGCTGTTATAGCTGCAAAGGGTGGGTCAACTCAATATTGAACCCTATGGACTAACTGGAATGCCATTAACGTTCATGTGCGTGTAAAGTCAGGTGTTCCAATACTTTTGGCAATATAGTGTGTGCATATATATTGTAGAAGGCACCAAGGATATGTCATGGAGGTGCATTAATTTTGTCCCTTTTGAGAGCCCTAGTTGTGAGATTTCAGGGAAATGCAAACAAGATGGGACATTGGTTAGCAGTTTCTCCTGTGTTTCTTTTGTTTGTTATGGGTTCCTGGAGTCTGGAGACTTTAAGAGTTAATGGGAGGGATGAGCCTCCAACCTCTCACCCTGAGAGACAAAGGGTTAATTACCTCATCTGGGAGATTAGGTGTGTTAAGGGCATAGCCTTCACCTAGCAGGGGGGCTGTGTGAGCTGTGTGCAGGAAGATACATGGCTGAAAACAGTGTCTGCTCCTAAACTGCTGAGCCATTTTTGTTGGAGTTGCTATGCACTGTGTTTGACCCTCAGAGAAAGGCGAGGACACGGCCATGGAGTGACAGTTCTGTGGAATGACCTATTCTGTGGATGGTGGTAAGCCACAAAGACTATTTTGAGTGAAGGACTATTATTCCACTGGGACAGTTTTATTTCTCTTTGCTGCCAGAAAGCTGTTTTTGTTATCGCTATTTGAAAAATAAAGACTGACCTTGATTTTACATGGCACCAGTGTGAGCGTAATCCCCCAAATTATCTATATATATATATATATATATATATATATATATATATATATACTGTTCCAAGGGTAGCCATGGCACTTTATGTTTGAAGTAAATGCCCAGGAGCTTACCCACAAAGAAATCCATTAAAATCCAAAACTGATGTAGAGGCACGCACCAGTCTTGCACAGGATGAAGATAGAAAACAGGAGTGTGTTTATTGTCAATGTTTCGATAATGCTCTTTCCAAAACACTGCTGTTTTGAGTGACTTTCTGGATATACAGTGTATATATTATTATTATTATTATACAGTATTTATAAAGCGCCAATAGTTCGCTCAGCGCTGTACATTACAGAGGGGAACAGAACATGTGACAGAACAATACCAATACAATGCAAAACATGAGGGGATTGAAGGCCCTGCTCTTTCGAGCTTACAATCTAGGAGGGATATATATATATATATATATATATACAGTATATATACAATATCTCTGAATTTGATTGTGTTTGTGAAGTTAAATTAGCAATGTAGGGTAAACTAGAACACAATATCACTCTAATGATCCAGGAGGAGAGTCCTGTGGCTAGTGACACTCTATGCTGGTGCTGGTTGGGATGTAAAACTCAGCTGAACATAGGATCAGTAGACTGTAAAGCTAAAATAGTAAAAGTTGATGAAAATTAGCTTCAGCTTGGTTCTCCACCCATAGAAGAACCCCCATAATGCATTTTGCCCACGTGGGACATAATCAAAGAGGACCTTCTTATATGTATTAATACAGGTAGTTGCATTTTTATATACAGTAAGTAAGTATATTTTTGTGGCAGCTATACCAGAGCATATTTTAGAGAGTTACGTGTTTGGGGAAATGGTAAGATGTTATAGGTGTTTGGTTAGGTGAGAGAGTGAGTGATAAAGCAGATATAGATGTGATCATTAAAATTATTATTTACACATTAACTTATTTTAATTTATTAAAAACGTAACAAGTGGATACTCACAAAGAGATATTGAAAACAGACATGGAGCCAAATTAGCCATTCCAACCAGGCAGTTGTACCACAGGACCCCCATTGTGTGGGATTGATACATTTGGCTCCATATCTGTTTTCAATATCTTTTTGTGAGTATCCACTTGTTACGTTTTTAATAAATTCATTTTTTACACCGGTAATGCATGAGGAGAGTGCACCCTTTTGTGTTTTTTCTTTTGTTACTACCAAGATTCCCCGATCTTTAGAGGGCTGAGTGGAGCCCTTTACTAGTACTATGCATGAGGTTTATTGTAACTACCAGCTGTGAGGATTGCAGAGATTCCCTCATCCCCAATGATTTAAAGTGGTTGTGAAGGCAGAAGGTTTCTTTTTTACCTTACAGCATTCTACAGTGTGCAGTAAGGTAAAAGACATTCTGCATGCAGCTTCCCCACAGCCTCCCTGCTTCAGCGCTGTTCACGAGTGCCGAGGCTGTCTCAAATCTCATGCTCCTTATTGGCTCCCGCTGCTGTCATTCAGAGCCAGTGGCAAGGAGCAGGTGGTGGGACCAAGTTCTGTTCTGTATGTCTTATGGAAATACAGAGCAGGACTTGAGAGCAAGCATGCATGAGTGCCCCCAGAGCAAGCCGCTTGTTCTGGGGACACTCGGCAGTGAGGTGGGTATGGAGCCTAGAGTGCTGGCCAGGGACCCCAGAAGAGGATGATCGGGGATGCTGTGTGCAAAACCATTGCACAGAGCAGGTAAGTATAACCTGTTTGTTATTTCAAAAAAAAAAACGAAACTTTAGCATGAATTTAAGTTAAAAAAAGCATATATCTGTTTTAAACATGTTTCTGCTATTGATATTTGTTACAATTTAAGTCTATATTCAAATAATGTCTAGGGTAGTGAAAATAGTCTGATTCACACAGTATCGTGTTATTGCAGCTAGAAACAATGTGGTAGGTATCTTCATTATGACTTGTAAATTATGAATTTGACAACTAAGAAATGATGAATGTTCTAAAACCCAGGCATATACGGGATGTTATACAAATACATAATCTTACTTTTGTAATGGCAAAGCTCAGCACTCATTTTGCACTGAACCTGGTACATTTCACTTGTTCCATCCTCAGCACTTGAATTACAAAAAAGCTATGTAACTTTTCAAGCAGAAAATCTTGGAAATCATGGAGAAATGCAATTTATGAACTGGGAGGTAGTAGAGATACAAAGTGGAAAGGATTCTGGATGACATGAAGTGGAAGTGTGCTGGAAAAACTCATAGCTCATTGGCAGCATAATGGAAATCAAATGTAATGTCTAATTTAGACACAAGACTGCAGTGAGCTTTGCAGTCCATTTGCCTGTGAAAAAGACGAAATCATATCTCAGAGAAGTTCTAGTATTATGCCCATTTCATTCCTGTTTACTGTAACCTGTTATATGAAGGTGATGATGCACAAATGTATCCCTTTGACGCCTCTGTGCATTCTTCCTCACTCATAAACTTCACTGATGACAACACTCTATTTATCACACACATCATCATAAAAATAACACTGTGTATTCCATGATTTTCAAAATCTGGTGTTTTTGCTAGAAATTCTTTAAGTTGTAATTCTGCTAAAGGTTCAAAATCAGTCTTAAGCATCTGTGTAGTTGGGAACTGGAGCATTGTCTGGATAGAGAAAATGGACATAATTATACCAAAAAGAATATTAGGTGATAGCTACTTTAACCACTTGTCTACCAAGCACTTTCAGCACCTTCCTGCCCAGGCCAATTTTCAGCGCTGTAGCACTTTGAATGACAATTGCGTAGTCATGCAACACTGTGTACATGTAAGAAATTTGTATAATTTTTTTGAGACAGATAGAGCTTTCTTTTGGTGGTATCTAATCACCTCTGGGTGTTTTATTTTTTGCTAAACAAACCAAAAACAACTGAAAATTTTGAAAAAAAGTTTTTTTCTTAGTTTCTGCTATAAAATTGTGTAAATGAGTAATTTTTCTCCTTCACTGATGTGCGCAAATGAGGCTTCAGTGATGGGCACTGATATGCGGCGCTGATGAAGAGGCACTGGTAGGAGGCACTGATGGGCATTGACAGGCATCACTGGTGGACATTGACAGACATCACTGATGGGCACTGAAAGGCAGTACTGATAGGCAGCACTGACTGGCACTGATAGGCGGCACTGACTGGCACTGTAAGGCGACACTGACAGGCACTGATAGGTGGTACTGACGGGCACTGATAGACAGCACTGACTGGCACTGATAGGTGGCACTGATTGTCAGCACTCATAGGCGCACTACCGATCACAGCGCTGCACTCCCTCGGGGACTCGCACACGCAGTTAGAGTTAGAGGACGTCATATGACGTCCTCACAGATTGAGAAAACCACCACCCATCCGTCATTTCCTTATATAGCGGGCGGGAGGCAGTTAAGTTTAATATAGCAAGATAAATAAAAAACTGGGCTGCCTAGTCGGAAAAAAATTCTATAAATCTAAGAACTAAAGTCCCTAAAATAGGGTAACTCCAATACAACACTCACTACTTGAAGTACAAAAAGTGGTATCCTCGGAACCTAGTGAATGTGGACAAAATAAAAAATAAAAACCAGGGAAAGAGATCCACTGGCAAAGGAGTTCCAATGAGGACAGCCACGGTTGAAATTAAAAACCAAACTTTATTACAGAAATCTAAAAGTTAAACAAATAAATGGAAAATGTCTGACACCCTCACCACACCCAGACAATAAAACTGGAAAAATTGAAGAAAGTAGCCCACGCTACAAGATCCTGACACTACTGGCATGCATCTGGAGAGTGAAGAGACAAGAAGGATAGACCTGAATAGAAATGGTGAAAAATGACAGATGGAAAAAGGATTCAAAAATATAATCAACAAAATTATATTACTTAAGTTGGCCTCTAAGAGACAAAGTAAGTAAATGGAACCATAGATGGAAACATAGAGTGTCCTCAATTATCTAAAGATGGATCTCCATTTGGGGTAGAATTCACTCCCACCTACCTACTTCTCCAAATGTAGCGATAACCTCATGGTGAGGACAAGTCCTGCATCATCACGGATGCTAATGAATAATATGGAGAGGCAGGGAGTAGGTGCTTCAATATATTGAGGTAAGGCACATCAATAGATGATCAGACTGTAATGGCATAATAATAAGATGAAGGTCAAAATTCAACAAAGAGACCACTAGTGTGCTGGCGTTAAACGCATGGAATGAGTTCCATATGTCAGGTCAGGTCACACAACTGACAATGTGATGGTTGCCAATAGTGACCATACTGGATAATTCACCCGCAAATAAGAAATCACATATCTGGCACCAAAAGGTGCAATTCAAATAGGGATGAAATAACACCAGTATGGCAGCAATACGGATAGGATAATTCTAAAATCCTTTTCAATCATGATATGGCAAACACTTGATAGTAACTACTGGTGATCACATCAATACAGATGAAAATCACAAATATAGTAGTCTATGAGATAGTATAACAGTGTGATGGCACACAGCAAGCACCAGTATCAGATGATGCAGAGATCACGTAGTATACATAAATGCTGTAATAGGATCACATCACTGTATTGTCAAAAATGGAATACTCTCATCACATTACAGGTCTTGCTGTGTGGTCGTGGAATTACCATAGCTGCTGTGTAATAATCATGTCATGATGTCATGATGTATTTCCATGGCCTTTGTGGATTCCCTCCAGAAAATCGGTATCTAGACATTGCCCCAGCAATGTCATCTGTGAGTAAATACTCTGGTCCAGACTTTCCAGAGCTCACAACTGAAGGGCCAGGCTGTGTAATATCACCTATGGCTAAATATACAGCTCAAAGGTGGTTGGTGTATCAAATAATGCAGAGCAGGCATTGGAGCGGCTAGAACGAGAAATGGCTTGACCGCAGGTGCATAAGCGTGATGTGTATCGGCATACACATCCTGGAACAGACAGGCAGGCAGAGCGGCTCACTGGATGGCCAGGCCGGGATTCCGGGAGCGTGAGGATGTGATGTCAACGCGTTTCACCTACCGGGTCACGTGGGCTTCTTCAGGATGGGGAAGCCATGTTTGTGGGGGTTTTTATAGCCCATACGAGCCTTGTTTTCAGTTATCCTCCATATCATGGCCCCTGTCAACATCAAATGAAGGTGATGAATATAAGAAATCAAAACACAGAGAAATCATCAATCCGGATAAAGAGTCATGTATCTGATATACAGGGGCATATCACATTTCATCTAAGCAACATATTCTAACATTTATGTGTACATATGTGTGAGAGGAAAATCCATATTAAATGTAATACAAAAGAATATATTTAAATCAAAAATTAAACAATAATTAACCAAATGGAAAATAAAAAATAATAACACCAAATCCAAAAATTAAATCCGTCTGAACCATATGCAGGAAAAAAAAAATGGAGAAAAAGAAGAATAATGAGACACAGCCAAAAATTAAGGTTCCAAAAATACTTGCAGGCTACACTCATTATTTATCCCGACGGGTGCCAATGACCCCAGTTTAAAAATCCACTCTTTATCTTTACGTAATAGTATGGTATCAAAGTCTCCTCTTCTAGTAGAGAGTTTTAAAGCATATATTGCTTTTACTGGTAATCCACTGGGTGATGAATGATGTGCCAGAGCAAAGTGTTCGGCCACTGGGGTGCATTCATGATGGTTACATATGCTACTGATGTGTTCTGCGATACATACCCGTAATGGGCGTTTAATTTTACCTATGTAGATTTTATCACATGCACATTGTAACATATATATAACCCTAGTAGTGGCACAATTAATAAATTGTTTTATGTGGAAGTGATTCGTCCCAGTGGCATCTGCGAAGGTATCAGGCGGTTAAGTTAACTCAAAAACAGTACCATCTACCATCCAACTCACCATCTACAAGTAAACTTTGTAAGACATTGAGGTTGATTTAAACAGATTTTTAGCTTTGCAATGGAAGTTGCACTTTGGCTTGATTGTGAATATGGTGAAATTTCCCTTTGCAAAGAATGCCCAATCACATGTAAGGAAAAAAAAAACAGTATATGTGCTTGATTGAAGTATGATCGAAGTAAATAGAGTTTCACCTCATTCACTAAGCACTGGGGAAACTTCCCTTACAAAGTGAACTGTCTATTTGCCTTTAGTAAATCAACTCTGTGACGAATCGTCCCTGTGTGATCATATTTTGCCCTTTCTGTTCTGGTTTTCTCCCCTTTGTAAAGCTGGACATGTTTCACAGACATTCTACACTGTTTGTTTAGGGAAATGTGACCTTGTAGTCTTTCACTTCTAATAGAGTTCATACTGCATTGTTAGTTGTAGGGTTTGTTGTGGGTGGGGAAAACCCGGTGCCAGGCTGTCTGGTGGGGGTGGGGTTGAAGCTGTATATACTGAGCTGTGTTTATTAAAGAGTCAGTCATTATTCACCC